TTAGAATCTTGGAAAGGCTGAGGCAAATAAACGTACATATAATAAGATAGTTGAAAAATCGTAGAATATGCAGTAGATATCGTGAAGGCGCATCTCAACGTTCAAAAGAAGGTAACTTCCGAAACGGCTCGTATTTATGATGAGTTTACACTTTCGCTGATTCCTAAATCCACCCTCACCTGACTTTCCAGTATTTTATCGCTCCCAATTCTCACGTCCCGCAGCGAGCGCGATACGCAGTTCGGGAAGAAGCTACCATACCCAAGACCCAGTACCTTCATATGCTACCAGCAGGCGCGCTGCTTCGATCTATAGTATTATGGAAAACTTTCTAGCAAATTTGATACTTCACTCTGGAAACAAACTCGTAACGGAAACTCGTAGATAACCAAGCACGATATTAAACTTTTTCAGCGAAAGGACGAGATGATTTATCCAAAAAGAGAATAGGTAAGCTTATTTTCTATATCCTATGGCATTTCACTGTGAAGAAGTGGGCTAGGGGAAATGGTTGTATTTCCCATAAGCATTTCCAAGGTTCGAATTTCGGATTAATACCTACCGTACCTGTCGCCACCTAGGGTGAACTGCACACTACTCGATATCTCAAATATCACCTAGGAACTATTTATGAGCTAGGTAAGATTAGGCAAGGGCGGACAACTATGTAGACTCGTCAGGGAGGATGTTGTGACTGATTTGCTCATTTGCTAGACACTGCAGGTTGCTGTATTGGACTCATATGCATTCAAAATCCCCATAATTCTGAATAGAAGTCGAATGTGGGCCATCTCAAAAACAGGATCGATTCACGTCGAAGACTCCTTCCTTAGGAAGAAGGTGTTCAGACACTAACTAAGATCACTCGGATGCCATTGAACGAGGGAACTGAACACTGCACCAACTTCACAAACTCCACTTCATAATTGCATACCCCAATGATACCTATCATAGCTCATCAGGGACAGCACTGGTGATGGTTGCAGTGAAGTTTTCTGCTTTATGGAACTGCAGAGTACTACTTTGATCTATTTCGAGCTTTCTTTAGATGCCAAAGACTCAACGAACTACATACAGTCGTCTCCAAATGATACAGACACCCCTAATTTCCCCAAGAACTCGGTTTAAGAGTTTCTGAAAAAGTGCCGAAGAAAAAATTCGTCAAAAACGCTGAATTGCCATTTGCACAGTATCACATGTTTCCACCTCAAAAACACAAACATTCTTTTTCGTCAATTTTTCGGTAAAGGGTGCTTATCCAACGCCTCCAAATGATACAGGCACTTCATGCCTTCGCCTTTGGTTCAGCGCAATGAAATTGCTTCGTTTATGTAATGTTCTTCTTTCTCAGGCAATGCGAAGCTGCGAATGCTTCGAATGCGAATGTTTTCGGAATTTGAGAAAGGTCAAATCCTCGCGAAAAAAGAGCCGCACCGGCTGACGTAAAACGAATTAGTTCATATGTAAGAAATGTACGTCTGTTGCATTTTAATTCACGTTCGGATTCCTTACAGTCGGTCTCTGCAACAGACGTACATTTCTTACATACGAACTAATTCGTTTCACGGCCCGGCCTGCCGGCGGACTATGAAAGCAATCAGTCGTGCGAGATTTGGGTCGATATCACGCCGTTGTGGATAAGTTCACCAAGAATCCTAAAACATATAGAACCAGAAAAAGTGATGGAGGTATTTCGTTGCTGTCCGACAGAGACAAGCGCCGTATTTTGAGAGAAACGTCGAACTTTACCAAGTACTGCATGGAAATTCAGTCGTCTCTGAACCTCGATGTCTCAAAAACACTTTTGGAAGGTGTTCAAAAAGTCCAAGTTTATCCTCAAGCGGAAAATGCCTAAGGCGCCCTTCATGACAAAAAGGCATCGAGAAAATCGGGTGGTTGCAGCAGAAGGTGCAGCGGAACCGAGTGGAATAAGGTGTTTTTCATGTGTTGACATTTGACCTCCTATTTCTTGATGGCTTTTATTCTTGAGGTCGTTTTTTCCGATGAAATGTGATGGTTCAGACGGGAACTGATTTTACTGGCACGACCTCTAGACGAGACTTCAAATGAGGAGGAGTCATGGTTTGGGCAGCGATTTCATCGAGTAGGCTTAGCTGTTTATGTCTTGTACCAAAGGAGGTGAACTCTTTCTTTTAACAAACTGGTACGTGCCGTGCACTTCTCCCTTTCTGGCGTCAGAACCACTACCGAAATCTTGTTTTTATGCAAGATAACGCCCGATCCTCGTCAGCAGGAGCACCCAAGTTTGGTTCTCTCGTGATCGGATTGCACTTCTGCCTTGGCCGACGAACGGCCCCGATTTTATTCCAATGGAAAATGTATGGGGCTCCATGTTGCGGAAGACTTATTCCCAAGACAAGCAATTCCGAGGCGTCAAGGAGTTGAAAAAAGCGATCATCGAAGCACGGCCCCAACTTGACTAGGAGCTGATTGATAGTTTTTATTTAGGCTTAGACCACCGTATTTTCGAGGAATGGTGGACTAACTGACTATTGACTTAGCAACTTTCTCTCTTTGTTGTATGTTTTTGTTAAACAAACCAATTTTGTTAATGGCTCTATCATTTGGAGTCGTTAGAAAAGAAAAGAATAGGAAAAGAATAAAGAAAAGTCTCTACTGAAAAATTGACTAAAAAATGCCTGTGCTTCCGAACTGAAACTTGGTGAATGTGCGATTTGCAATGTGGATCTGACACTTTTTTACTTTGGCTTTTTTTTCAGAAACTTCGTATACTGTGAGCTTTTGAGAAAATCAGAGGTGGATATATCATTTGGAAACGAACTGTATTTCGCTGGCTTAGATTCTTCCTTAATGTCGAAAATCAGGATAATGTACAGCGGTCCAGGTCATCGATGAAATCTATGGCCTTTTATAACAAGGATTAGGTTGAAATGGGAGGCTATGTATGAAGAAAAAGAACTCGGTATGAAGAATACAATCGTCAGAAAAATCAAGTGGTGAATTATTCGAGCTGAGGTTCTAAAAAGATCCAACCGAAACTGGAACTAAAAATAAGACCGGGAGCATGCAGAAATACTGCATATTTCGAAATGTTGCCCATACGTGAGTTGTTCAGTAAGACAGTCAAGAAGCAAAAAAAAAACAATTCAGATGGGAAAAAACTGAAAATGAAAAGTATGGAAGATGCAACTGTTAACGAGGGTTCCGAAGGCTCCGACGAATCAGAGACGGAATCAGAAGAAATCGAAGTTCTGATTCCGGAAGAACTCAGGGAATATGCGGAAAGGGTTGGTAGACATACAAAATTCATTCCGTTGCCATACCACACGATGTAAATTCCCATTCGTAGCTTATTATCGGAAAGTTATCGCGTCATGGTTTTGGACGAGGCAAAATCACTAAGTTGGCTTTGTATTGTGTGACGATCTGCTATGTGGCCAATCTTCAAAATTTTATGATGTTCAACTATGCAGTTCGCCGATTCGGATGTACGTGAGGTGTTCCTTCCGAAGTATTCGGAAAGTCGCAACCGAGATGGTTGAAAAGTGTCCAGTATATACTTGTGAGAGGGAGGCGGGTGACTCGGGCCGCTACTTGCTAGTTGTCTCGCTGCAAAAACTGAGAACTGCCCTAGCTCATCTGCGCCCCTTCACTGATATAGCTTTCAGTGGACTTTGCTAAGTGCCGGTTAGACTCCCTCCGAGACAACATCAGATTTTCATGGACTCACCTAATAAATATTCATTGATACCGATTATTACTGAGACCGTCGAGGTGACTTTATCCTCACGCGAAAGAATCCCAAAGGGCCCTCTACGGTCTTTACAATGAATCATTGAACATGTATTTGTAAGAGGAGAGACATTATTAACTCCGCGGGGGGTTAGAGCGTGCGACAAGTGCGGCATACCGTCCGAGTCTATAATATCACCACATACACACGTCCCCAGCTCGCTGCCTTGGTCGAAGGTTGTGAGCTGAAGATTAACGGGATTTACTTAAAGGGTAAATTAATTGTGGCGATACAACGCCGGCATAGCATTTGGTCCACAATCAGAAAGTGGTTTTAGAAGGACTAAAACTTGATTAGTCTCGGCTCCGAGATGCTGAAGAGATTGGAGACACTGAAGTTCAGTGGAAGTTAGTCAAAGAAATATATGATATCTTGGTTGTGGCTCCGCGAGAATCATCTAAGCATTCTGCTAAAATTCATTTTAGTCCATTCCTGCCACTCAAAATCATAATTTAATTACAGTATCCTTCATATTTCCATTCGTTTGTTGTATGACCCTCATCGGATTCCCGATGATTTACCTAGAAATGGCCCTGGGACAGTATACCCAAGGAACCGTACTTCCACTTTTCGACCGGATCGCTCCGATCAGTGTAGGTATGTCACTCAAATAATAATTAGAACAAAATGGATTCTGAAAAATTCCCATTCGAAAGGTGTTGGCATATCGGCTTCGCTATTACTAATGACCAGCATATTTATTGACAATGATGTAATGGGTCGTATGGTTCACATACTGTTGAAATCGCTGGATATATTTGGAACGGAGCCAACATGGGACGATTGCGTTGGAGAAGGTGTGAGAGAATGTGGGTAAAAGTTTTTTTTATGCTTAGAATAGCAGCCGCACAAATGAACGCAGCAGTCTTCGGAGTCGGACGGTATGGCAATCGGTGAGAAGGGCAGAAAAAGAGATTGCGCTGGACTCTTTGTATCTCGGACCACGATAGCACACCCTGTACACGACAAGGAGTCTAATTTCTACATAGTACCTGCAACGCATGAACAGTCTCTTCCATCGCCGCTTTTCATGAGCTCCTCGTGGCGACTAGTCACATCAAGTATCATGTGACAGCGCTGCAAGAAACCGAGAGCAAGAGGACCGACGTGATATTACTGATGGTCGGGTTCACAATCCAGTGAAGTATCTCACTGACTCAGTAAACAAATCATTAATCAGGGTGGAAGTGTAACATGAAATGGCCGGAATTCTGCAAGAAGAATTCCCTTATTGACATTTGAAACTTTAAGTCTTTGAACGGGAAAAACTGGGCTTTGGAGAACGAAATATGACTGAATTTCAGCAAGTAGAAAATGCTGTGCAGTTCTTTCTAACGAGTTCCTCAACTCATCGAATGACGCATTTGATGCTTTTCAGTCTGCCATTCGATCAATAGAAATTGTAGTGGCATAAAAACTCCCAAGGGATGGGTAGAAACAGATTCATCTGAACGTTTTACTTTTCGGTAAGTGAACTTCAGGAGAATAATCTCTGCGATTAGTGAATGTGGGTCAAGATGCTCCATAGCAACCACATCTTTCGCTTCTAGGTAGTCACTTGTAAGCTGCATTCGCTAATCGTGTTGAGGTCCCTTATTTTTTAGAGGCAAAACTCTTATACTTAGCAGGCGTCACCGCGTGTCGTCGAGGCGAAGACAATCGCTCGTTCTGTCCGTAACCACGATTCTTCTTTAAGAAGGGAAAGTGTTGAAGAAGCTTCCTCTTTTTCTCGCTTTCCCCAGCGTCAACAGCGCGTCGTTATTGGGCTCACTGTTCTTTCAGAGTCTCCACATCTTCCCCTGTACTTCTGCTTTGGGGCCTCCCCATGGTCGCTTCCCTTGAGCTTCAAATCCCATTCTCCTTCTTATCTTATTCTGTGATATCTCAATACGTGTTTATACCGTCGCATACGATGTTCTCCTGTCTCCTGCTGCACTGAAGCTGTTTTCATGGCTGACGTCATGGTTTCTGACCCGGCCCAGTCGCGTCCAACCAACTCTCGATGACTTCTACAGGACCGTCTACGACTGACACCGTGTACTCTTTGACACTGAGGAACATAGACCTCTTCACGTTCAAGCGAGACCCCTTTACGACAGCGATATCGGCCGTTTCCGTACATTGATCTCCTTTGCTTTCCTCCAGAGCGATATCATCAGCGTAGAAGATGGTTACAAGTAGTCCCACCATAGTGTCGTTTGTAATTTCATACATCGTAAGCAAGAAGAGAAGCGGGATCATAACTACTCCTTGTTGTACCCCAAGCGACGTCTAATGCTTTTGTTAAGCAGTGAGGGGTGTTTATGATCGTTTGGACGTCACACATTTCCTTCAACAGTGATGTCAGATGTCGCAGAGCCAACGACGATTGAAATCAACCTCCATATGGAGTAAGCTGTAATATTTAGAAAGATCTGCCCTTTTCTCGATATTTTTCCACCACTTGCCTATTTATGGAGATGGCATAAAGGGCCTTTCTGGCTTGGAGCTCAACTGCGTTGCATCGTTTGAACAACAGAGTAGTTGAAGCACTTCGTCACGTCTCCTTCTACTCGGAGATGGGAACGAGAGCATTGCTCCTCCACGAGTTCGGGGCATTTCCTTCAGCATTCACAGGTGTTTGGGCCACCCGGCTCCGTTTTCCTAAAGTACCTTCCATGCGTCACTTGGTACCCCATCTGGACTCGTTGCCTTCCCGGCCTTCATCTTCCCTGCTACTCGACGGACCTCATCTTCTGTCGAGAGTGCATTGGGGAGCCGTCGCTCCTACCTGAAAACTGTTTCTATTGTAAAATACTTCGTTAAGAGACTTACGCCTGACACCGCAGAAGGCTTCCTCAGGGCTATCCTCTACAGCTCCCTGATGTGATGTCTTGAGTAGTTCGGTGCTCCGTTTCCGCCAGCCGGAAGATGAACACCTCTCCTTCTCGACTATCGAGTTTCTCGTACATGGTATCCACTTCTCTTTCTTTGTTTTCACCACTGCAGCCTTGACGAGCCTATTGGAAGTGCTGTAGGCAACTAGGTCTTCTGGGGTTCGCGTCTATCGCAAACGCATGTAGCTGACAAATTTCTGCTTTACAACTCGTGGGCTCATCGTTCCAGAACCATGCTTCCTTGTTCCTCGGAACCCAATTCGAGTATCCCTTAGGGTCCTGAGCAGACCGTAGGACGACTTTCATAGCGTTGCTCCAAGTCTGTAGAATCGGTCTCGCGGAATATAGGGATCTATCATCATGTCACATTATTGTATTATCACATTTTTATACCACAACCAGGTCCTGCCTACACCTTTCCTAGGCAACTTTTTGCTGCTACCAGGCCACGAATTGGCTCTTCTAGCATTCTGCAGCCATTTTCTCTTCTGTTATAGCCACTCAAATGAGATATTCTCAAAACATTGAATAGTGCCAAATTCGAAAACGAAGTGTTTTTCTATAACAGCTTTTTCATGTTAATGGGTGATACATGCATTCTTCCCACGGATGCAGCTCAAGGAAATCGTTACACTAGAGGAGCATCATATGCAGCTCATAGAACCGGAAGTCTGCTGAACTTATTGGATACACTGCCGCTAAAACATTACGGGTAAGAGTGGATACTGTTTCAGTTCTAATCAATTATATGTAACTTTGTAAAAATGAAGAATTCGTTGGAAAGCTATGAATGGTCAATTAATTACTGATGGCATTGGCTGCTTTCATAGTCCGCCGCGTACCAGCCGAGGTAGTACTGGGGGGGAGGAGGGAGGCAGACGGTCGGCAGACGCGGTCGCGTAGCGCCCAAGCCCCTTCGAAGGGCTGAAAACAAAGAAAAACAAGAACAAAAACCAAACAACCAGAGGCTTGTGCAAATAGTCTTTATCTTGATTTTCTTTGTTTTCAGCCCTTCGAAGGGGCTTGAGCGCGACGCGACCGCGTCGACTGACCGTCTGCCTCCCTCCTCCCTCCTAGCACTTCCTCGGTTGGCACACCGGCACGCCGGCGGACTATGAAAGCAGCCATTGGTGGTGTAGCGGCAAGCGGCACACTGTGACGCGGCGTGACCCCAGGGATTGAAATCTGCTCAGGACAGCCAAGCCATCTATCGCTACTAGGTCGGCTAAGTGGTTATAGGCTTGTCGGGTAGTATAAAAACACTGACTTGCACTTCGGCTGGTCATCGCAAGTCATTGTATGGGCAACATACGCAGTCAATACGCCACTACGATTCTGAATTGATGTCGATTGCGCGGTGCATCCCTAAATCGGGATTAATTGAAGTCATGAACTTTATTATTCATTTTTACTGATTGCTATCAATTCAATCTGTTATAGCTCACTATTTTTTTCAACATTTTTTGTCCATTGATCGAGTTTTTTTNTTTTTTTCCAGTCTTGCGACATTTGAAAATTTCAAAACCATGATCGCATTCACATGGCCAGACATTCTATCCTTGACATATATTACCACATTTTTCTGCCTTGTCGCCTATCTACTTTCTCATCGCCGTAGATTTATTGTTTCTGTAAGTTTATATGTTTGTCTATCCGATTATCATTATTATTTACGAATAAATGAAATTCAGATGGTCTATCTTTATGTGTTCATTGTATTCGTATTAAGTTCAACACTTTTTGCGACTTATCTGTATTTGAGTCCCCCAGAACAGGCCTTATCTCGATCATTCGTTCTTTCATTTGGTGATGTACGACAATGGGTCAATGCCGTGGTTTATGTATGGGATTTTTCGTAATTCATTCATTTTTTCATATTTTATCGGACGTTTTCCAAGCCACAGTTTTATAGTCGGTACTTCTGCCACAACTTGGTCTTGGTGGTATGGTATTTATTGGCAGTCAAAACATCTTTTTCAATGATCTCGTCATGTAAGTTCAAATAAGCATCATTGACGTCTCATTCAGACTATGCGATGCAATACTGGCAACGTCGTAGGTCCATAGGCTACGCTCCCGCCCTCTTTCGCGACACATTTGTATGACCGATGTCGATTTATCGCATGCTGAGCATTGCCTGTAGACTTCGCAAAGCTTGAAAGTTCCTTCCACGATATCCCTTCAATGGAAGAAATCTATCAGCTATTACTCAGCCCTCTCGAGCCTCACAACAGCGCGTCTTCTCAATGGCCACGTTGAAAGCGAACGAAAGACTTTCGAAAGGATACACGGAGGCGGATGCGGAATATGGGTCAAAAACGAAGAAGGTGGGGGGTCCTCTATCTTTCTATCTGGTCGTAGCCCATGACCTGGAAGTCTGCAGCACCTTCTTCGCAAAAATGAAGGTGGTACTGCAGAATTGCTCCTGCTAAACATGAAGAAAACGAAGTTCCTCAGCTCCAAGCCCCACAGGCCATCTGATAGCTGGGGAGTGATCTAGTTGGTGATGGTAATGTGTACCAAGCTGTAAAAGCCTGAATAAAGCGGCATAGATGAAGTGAAAAATCCACCAACATACTCTGCGACCGTGGCTGGACCGGGGCGCCAGGGTGTCCTTGCAAACAGCCCTTTTCCACTTGAAGATGAGAGAGCAGCGTCTTTGTAGACGGGCATGTACTGAGAAGACCACAGGATCATCCGACAAGGGAGGCAATGGAGTTCGAAGCGCACGGTAGGCTACCACGAGGAGGTGACGAAACGTGATCAAGAGGACCTCGCTGGAGACGACGGCAGAAGATGCCGAAGACAGAAAGTAGCACACCCTGCAACTTCGCTGGATTGACGCTAGGGAGAAGAGGAAGATGAGTTTGGTGCTAGTGAGCTTTCCTCAGAGGAAATATTTTTCAAAAATTGAAGTGCAGCCGTAAGAAGTTGTTTGTCTACAACAATATGGTCAAAAAAGGTCTATCGGTCGACGGTCACACACTCGGTTGCTATAATAAGATCTCAAACAAACCTGAACGCTATTTCTGTGTGGGGAGGGGGAAGGGGAGTGGAAATATAATATATCTGCCTATAAAACCCGTCTCCCCCGGAGCGTTTTTAAAGTCACTAAACTACCAAAGTTTCAATTCTCACTGGTTAATTTCCGTCACACAGAGGATGCTCAGCAAAGTAGAATTAACAATATTAAGTTCCACAAAATATTAAAAACATTTTCTCATCGACCTATGGAGCGAATTTTCGCTAATCACTGTTCATAATTACCACTTAATATCACTTTTTCGCTACTTTTTCTCCATATTATTACTTTCCTCTTCACTTTTACCTTTTCTGTTAAAATCCGATAGGGAAATATGGTAGCATGATACCGTATCTTTCAGTGATGCCATGATAGTCACCGTTTTGACAACAGTGCTATATGCAGCTCAAGGATGCATATATGCTATAAGTGTAGATACATTCATGCTTGAAATGGCTGAAGGCGATAGTTACATATTTTTCTATACAAGTAAGGAGCGTCATTACAACTTTTCCGAGGTTCTGAATGCTTTTTGCTCGAAAAACCGAACAAATATCAATCTTAGCAGCAGTCGCACAAAAATTCAATTGACGCTTGGTCATGGCGTAGCGTTATGCTCTTTCGATCTCCCTTGAGAGGGTGTGGCTGCTTTCGTAGTCTACGAGCGAGCGCGCGAGCTGACGGGGGGACTACTCGTCCGGCGGTATCGACCAAGATTTAGTTGCAAACAGGGGGCAAGCGCCGCCCCCGGTCGCTCGCTCGCTCGCGGGCCGAACGGAGGACTATGAAGGCAGCCTGTCGGAAGTCATACTCGCAGGAGTGCCTCCCCCGCCGCTATCGTCTGCTCTGCTCTCCTGAACAGTATATGCAGTAATTGAATTATCTTAAAAGAAAAAATTAAGCTGAATATCATGGCGACTATTCCAAAAAAGCAAATCGTGCGAACACGAGTATTTACTCGGTATTTCTTGCTTCTATGCACATATTTGGTGATCTTCAAGTTCCTTTGAGCGTACTCGCAACAGTTACTGGATTAATGGCCTGTCTTACGACAAAGGTTGGTTTGACCTTTACACTTACTCGTTATGTAACCCATACTATGCAATCTTAGAAAAACGAAGCATACGCAATCTTTTCTGACACTTTTCTTCGACCCTTGCAGTCCTCAGAGTCCACTATCCTTCTCCCAGGAATATTCTTTCTTCTTCAGATTGAAAATCCCTACAAAGTCAATCCTTTTACCCATACTGAAGTCTCCATCACCTCAGGGATGCCACGCCCACTTATTTCCGCCTGAGCTACTGACGATCTCACCGTAGAATCCTTTCTTCCTCTTCTGGGAAAATCGTACAGCCACTACTATATTGTACATTCAATACGGTAGGCGTTCCGTGATGGCTGAAACCAAAGGTATTCCTGATAGCTGGATAACCACTGGCTTCTCGGAAAGTGGCTCCTTTGTTTCTCTGCCGAATAAACTGCGTTCATAAGTGAAGTAGTAGCGGTGTGGTGCCGTCGATTTTGGTGGATTCCACTCGAGTCAGATGTATTGTATTAAATTCTCCTTTATTGACAAGATCGTCGACCTGTGGTTGAAACTTCGGCAACGGTCAGACTCGATCACTATTCACTATTTGTACCTCTAGAGCACTGTGCTCTTTATCCCTTCCAGCTCGCCTCCATGATCGCTTCTCCATTTCTCGGTCGATGCCGCCGATCCAATCAGTGCTTGCAACGCACTTGAACACCTTTCTTGATCATGGAATTCGCTACAGCATCTCAGACAGAGGCAACTGTTGAAAAATGTGAACGCGAAATGAGAATTTACTGTGATCGTTATGATCAGCAGTGGAGACAGCTCCACAGAACTTATCGTAGATTTCGGTAGTGCTTTTTAGTTGCTCCTTACAGTTCCTATTCTTTTGGGCTCGTGAAGATTTCCGACAAGCCTCAAACGCCATTGCATCCCTCATAGAATATCCCGTGGCGTTCCCATCACGTGCCCATACAATCTCAACAGTTCCTTTCGCATTTACAACTTAAGCAAAACGGATGACTGTGACTGCACGCCCTCGTTTCTCATCCTATTTCACCACTCTCAGCCGCACAGAATCTAGGAATCCCTTCTTAGTAGAGTAAAGCTGATTCCTATGAACCCTGAGGTGTATGCCTTCCGAACAGCTCTGTATACAGTAGAACCATGAAGACCTCACCACTGTCTAGTACACTCTTCCATCGTCAACATGTGAGTCCATCAATACCATTTGAACCTTCTTTGCAAATGCTATTGATGGACTTACATATTGACCGACACGCAGCGAGGGCTAAATCCTTTTGAGATGCCAAATAAGCTGTACGTCGTTGTTCCGAAGATTGTTAGGGAAAGTATCAAAATGCACCATTGCATCGAACTGAAC